CTATAACACACATGTCCTGGGCAGAGCCCTCCTGTTCCCGTTGAATATCTGAACGGCACCCTGTATTCTTGGAACGCATGGTATTCAGTATGGTTCATACGCAGCAAGTTGGCATCTTGTTTGGATTGGCTTGCTGCTGCCTTCAATACAAGTATTGAGTCTCGAACTCGAACAATGCAAACATGAGTAGTGGGGGTATCTCGTCATTTCTGCCGGTACTGCTGTAGGGAGATGAAGCCGCCGGAAAAAAAAACAAGCAACTCCTCCTCGCACGCGGGCACGATCCAACATTCAACCACCACACATGCACATTTTATCTCCGTTGCAAACATCCTTCGTCCTCTCCTATGGTTAGTTTTCGCCAAACAGGACAACGCCTGGCCATTTCCTCCTCGTTTGTTTCTCAGGAGCGGATCCGGCGACAAGCACCGATCGACATTATGATGCAGGGCGGTAGGCGGGGTGCATGAAAGGGCTATAGGCGAATCCAGAGTTAAAAGCAAGACTACTGAAAGTGCCCCCGGCAACAAAGCGATCTGGGGAGGTCAAATCCTCTTGGGATACCCTGTCACTCGCCGAACACAACCAACCAACCACACAACGAGCGTACGGCTACAACTATAGGCGGTTACGATCATCAGGTCCGGTACAAAAAATGAAGCGGTTGTTGCTAGAAAACAGAGGGTGTAAACAGCAAAAAATATATATACCACCACCAGATTACTAGTACAGCATGCGGGCATCAATCATGGAGTGCAGTTATTTTTGGCCTTTGATGTGCTGCTGTGGTTGTACGCGTATCTACAGCGATAGTACTCACCATCGTCCTCGTCCTCGTCCTCCTCGCCATTGGCCCCCCTAGCCCCCCTAGCTGCGGACCACACCTTCTCTCGCACCACTGCGAAGTGCGGTCATTTGCGCGTTGGGAGGAATCAAAGGATTCAAAATCGGCCGCCCGGCGTGGAATCGCGACAGGTAAAACACGCGCACACACACTACATATGCGGGAACTTTTCAACCGGTCTAGATTTTTACCCTCCTTGCTGCTGCTTTTTCAGCATGTGGTGGTCTTGGCCAGGGCACCAATCGATTGATCGTAGCTATCGCCCAACCATTTGGCTTACGAAGCATTTTGCAGGGGGAATTTCGACGATGAGACAGCCTTGCTTCGCCTCAAGGCCTACCATACCGACGGAATTCGGAGACGGTTTACGTTCGAGCTGGCTCGTTTTCTGTCGGTACGAACTCGTGATGTTTTCACACGCCATGGATTACTGATCGACCAATTTTCACCACGGCCAATACGTCGGGATTTCAGTAGTAGTTCTGGTGCAAGCGATAACGATGGTATTGAGGGTAATTCTTATGGGAGTGACGGAGATGAAGGGAAAGGAAAGAAAGGATAACGAAGGCGATGGTGGAGGAGGACAACATGGCGTGGAAGAGAACAAAGGGTTTGAGCCAGATATGATCTTCCTCACAACAAACAAGCCACAAGATGCGCCAGGCGAAAAAGCACAGCAGGCGGCAAAGTCAGTAGAACGCAGTAGAGCTAGGACCACCAACACCGTATATCGACCATTGCTGTTAATTCGTCAACCAATACAATTAAACTAATCAAACAAGGGGGGAACGAAGCGAACAGCCAGAGCGTGGCAGCGTTATGACGCCAAACATCACCCACGCACTCACCTGGCTCGTGCAGAATGGCTCCAAACACCCCCGCGCCTTCGTCCTCCTGCCCCATCACCTCCACTATCCCCGCCTCGGGGGCCGGCACCTCAACCTCAACCCCGCCGCCGCCGCCGCCGCCGCCGAAGCCGCCGACCGCCGCCGTCTTCCTGCCCCTACCGTTGCCCTTCCCAGCCCCGGCCATCGGGTTCGCCATGTCGTTAACGGGGCCGCTGCTG